CCAGCGTTTTGTGAAGGTTGTTTGACCCAAAAAAATTTTTTTTTTGGTAGAAAATGACGCGGCTAAACGCTAATGCAAAAATACTAAAAAAAAGCTGAAAAACTCATGTTTTTAACGTGACTTTACACAGGTAACGTTACCAGCGTTATCAAAACGCCCCGTGTGCACGGAGCCTTAACCCCTTGGCGCCGGCGTCTCGCGGCCCTATAAGGGTTTCAGAAGCCGGGAGGCGGGGTGGGGTTTAGAGTCATGTGACCACCGTGACACGACATCACGGTGGTCACATGATCGGGAAAGGTCCCAATCGAAAGGAGATCGGGAGCTTTCCATGAGTACCGGACATGTGTGCTGGGAGCGCGCGCTCTCAGCACATATGTCTTTTTTTAATAGAACACAAATGTGCGGCCGCTCAGCATCTAGGCCCAGACACCGGGAGGCCACACATTTGCATTCGGCCGGTGCCGAGAGGTTAATGTTTCTAACATTGCTCTGTTTATCTGCTAGCACCCGGGGATTAGCAGGGAGGGGAGGGACCTTGCAGTGTAATGAGCACCGATTGGATGCTCGTCAGGAAAGGGAGTGTCTGACTCCTTTTAACGTTTTTGAAGCACATCAGCTGATCGAGTAAATACAGCATGGGCCCCAATGAAGAAAAAAAAAAACAACTTTATTCCTTCAGGTTACATTTGCACACAGAAGCATTTGGGTGCTCAGTACCATCAGCCAAATCAAACTTGGGTGTCCCCTCCCGTTAGGCCCCGTTCACACCTGGGCGTTTTGGGATTGCGGCAGAATCTCTGCGATTCTGCCCACAATCTCAAAGCACACTACAATCACAAAATGCAGGTTCAGGTGTCATTATTTTCAATGGCACCTAAAACACGGTGCGGTTTTTTTTTTCCGCTATTGTCATGCAGTTTACTGCATGGCAGATCACATCACGTGAAGCTTGTTTCCCAAAGAGGAGCAGGAGCTTCTATTGGGCGTCAATCACACGATGTGATTTGCCTCAATTGTTGTGCAGTTCACTGTGCGGCAATCCCCTTCTTTTGGGTGACCAGCTTCATGCAGTCAGATTTGCCACCTGACAATCGTGGCAAAATTGCATCACGTTTTAGGTGCCGTTGAAAATAATGGCACTTGAACCCGCGTTTTGCGATCGTGGGAAGAATTGCTGTGATTCTGCTGCAATTCCAAAACTCCAAAGTGTGACTGGAGCCTTCCTGGTTCACATGCAATTCTGGATGTGTATATAAAAGTCACAGGTTTGCATGACAGGCTAGATATTATGTGTTCCTATTAAGGTGGTTCATACAGATGCATCCACACGCATTGCGATTTGAGTGCCATTTCGAAAGGGTCCTGTGCAAGTTAGGATAGGATTGCTATTGACAGAAGTTTTTGCATTGAGGTCAACGGAGGCATTTATTGCATTGAGGCAAGCAGGAAGCGTTTTTGCATTGAGGTCAATGGCACATGATTTTGCATTGAGGTCAATGGCACATGATTTTGCATTGAGGTCAATGGCACATGATTTTGCATTGAGGTCAATGGCACATGATTTTGCATTGAGGTCAATGGCACATGATTTTGCATTGAGGTCAATGGCACGCGATTTTGCATTGAAGTCAATGAAGTTTTGCAATGGCGCACGATTTTGCATTGAAGTCAGTTATACTTACCTGAGCCCGATCCAGCCATGTGCATGAGAGCAGCAGTGGCTTTCCTGCCTCACTGCACAGATTGGCTTCCACTGCTGTCAATCAAGTTCTGTGACGAGGGCCCCGGGGGTATCAGTGGATCCAGACAAGGCAGCTCGGGAGTGAGCATGCATGAGTACCTCCATAAGAAGCTATAGGGGAGGAGCAAGGAGAGCTGGCGAGAGACCCCAGAAGAAAATTGGGGCTGCACAAAGAAGGTACCTATAACATGGTTATTATTTTAAAGAGAAAAAAAGGGAACCTTTAATGTGTAACTTGTTAGCTAAGTCCATTTAAATCTGCTAGCCCATCTAACATTACCCTCTTCCCAGACTGGAGATGCTGCTGTATTCAGGTGTCTCCTTTGCTTCTCCAGTAGAGTGGAGACACCCAAAAATAGGAAGTGTGTTACTGGAAGGATCACCAGGAGAAAATAAAGGGGGAAAAAAAAGCCTAAATAAGAAAATGAATGCAGCCATCAGACTAGAGAATTGGTGAGGTGTAATATAATACATTTTTGTTTTTGGTTTAACACCACTTTAAAGCTGAACTCCAGACGGTTTCAGCTTGGAGCTATGTAAGTATGTATGTGCTGTAACTGTGGGATCCACCTGGAAGCTGAAAATCAGTGTAGTGGGCACTGAGAACACAGAGATTTCCACTGACTTCTGGGTCCTATGCTAAATGACTGCCCTGCTGTTTACTGGACATGGAAGGTGCTTGCTCGAAGGGGTGGTGACATTGCAGTCTCCACCTCATCCACTCAGGGAACAATTTGTATTCATTGAGACAATGCATAGTGTTGTCTTAATGGCTTCATTTTGAACGAGCGATCCCCTGTGTTCGCTAAGCAGCAGGACAGTCGCTTGGCACTGGACTCAGAAGCCATTCGGAAGTGACACATATACTGTCTATCTATTGCTGCGACAAATTGTGAGAAATACCTCTTTACTGTTGAAAAAGAAGGTAGGACATGTTGGCGTAAATTGTGTCCCATGTAAGTATTGTACCGCATCCATGAGACAATTCTGTGACCGATTCCTAAACACCTTAGCAGGACATGCATGAGTGGTAAGTCCTGCCATTTGTTGCACTACAGATAGATTTCTGAGTATCTAAAACGACATGTACTGATTTGGTCCCGCTACCTCCGGCAGTGGGATTGATGTGTGCAGGAGATAATGCCATGTGGTTGGCTGACAGCTTTGTATACAGTACATTCGCAGAGGGATTTGTTCAGGAGTTTTTTTTTTTTTTTTTATTGTTTTTTCAAGTTGTGATTATGTATTCATTGTAATAAAGGAGTATATTAAAACATTCCTTTCCATCATCCTTCTTCTTTTGTATTTCAGTTGGTTTCTGGTTGGGATGTGTTTTGTGATCTTTTTTTAACCTTTTCTTGCATTAATTGTTCTGTTTTATTTCTGCTTTCGCCGTCTTGGTGAACTGTCGTTGCGTTTTTTTTTTTTTTTATTTACAAAGCCACATGATTTTAAGTTTTTTTTTTTCTTTTTTTGCATCAAAATTTTCATATTTTCTGCATTTAGCTCTGCTTCACATCAGTGCGGCTTTAAAGTTGCGCTACTAAAGCAAAATTTCAAATCCGATGATCAGTGCGATTTTAATGTGCGATTCCATTGCAGCTTGCAACCTCATTAAACAGGTGTTAATGCAAGTCGCAATGAAATCTCACAAAAATAGTGCAGGAACCTTTTTTCAAAGTCGTTGCAACTTGAGTTGCAACAATTTGAATAGTTTTATTGTTGCAAATGGGTTATGACTTATCATATGATTTTTGAACTGTCCAATGATGAACTTGCCATTGACACCTGATAGAACCTAGTTGTTACTGCCAGCTAGAACACAAACACGTACAGCAGATCTTTTTAAGAATTGTAAGACAAAAATAGTTAAAATTAGGAAATAAAGCACAGTTCTGAAAATACTTCAAGCCACATCCTTTGGTGGCTTGACTCTAATGTTTCAGAGAAACTGAGAAAGCGATGGGTTTTGAGGCAGGCAATGTACTGGCTTTTTTTCTTGTGAATATGTTTAGTTACCAAACGGCAGACCTAAAAATGTAATTGAAGGAAGGGTATTGTTCCTCCTCACATTTTTAAACTTTTGCAAAAGGCAAACATAAAAAAAAAATTTTTGTTCCTCTTATTTTTGTAGAGTAGTGGCGTTATCTGATAGGATGCTGTTGTCAGGTCCCAATCCTACTGCTTTGGTGCGTTGCAGTGCATTAACACAGATACATGAATGTGCTTTATTTCACATTTTGTATTATAGCAGCCTTTTTGGAATGGATTTGCAGCTCAGCACAACGACAAAGCACCACATCACATAGATGATGTCCCCGAGTGCGCATTGTCTGTGTTTGGGAACCCACACCAACACGACCGTCAAAATGGGAGCAGTGGCTGTGTCCATGCTGCTGCATCCCATCTGACATAAATAGAACTCCTGTGCGTTCCCATGCAGGCAAGCATGGGCGTACGATTAAATATGCCTGTGTGAATGAGGCCTTAAAGGCACTGTAAACATTCAAATGTTTTGTCATTTTATCTAGGTATTGGTGTAGTTCTATTCACTGTGTCATTGGTTTGCCTTACCTCACATGTGGCTGTAGTATGTAGTGTTATGCCTGATCGATTCTTCTATGTCCATGTATTCATCCACCTAGCTTGTCCCTATTCTCTAAAGGAACGGGCAACTCTTTGTTTTAAGACATGCAGCGCCCAATCCATGCCTCACTCTGTGTTGCATCACAAATGTGAGAGTGCTAATGTGATGAAAGCCTGCATGAATGCTCTACCTCTTTGTGGCTGTGTCAGATCTAATTATACCAATGTAAGACAGAGAGATCCAGGGATTGTGGGATACATAGTTTCCGTAAGAATTTAGTAAGTGTTCGTTATCAGACAGAGGTCGTGCATTAACCAGCACAGTGCCATGCTGCATGCCTCATGCTTGGAGACAAACCGAAACCTCAGCCTGTATAGAGTAAAGCTTCACATTCCAGTATCAGTGTGTACAGGGCAACAAATGTCACCATGAAACTACATGATCAGTGCACAGCGTATACAGGTGAAAAACACAAGATGTACATGTGAAGGATTATGAAGCCTTTAAAATGAATGGCACCACACCATCGACCATGTTTTAACCACCTGCCGCCCGCCATATAGTACAATTACGGGTGCAAGGTGGGTCTCTCGTTCTAGGACGACTTCCTATGATGTCGTACCATTCTAACCCTGCATGCGCGGCTCCGGGAGTGCGCAGCACGGCGATTGGTGGTGCGCTGTGTCCCTCAGACACAGCGGATCACCGATCAACAGAACGAGCCGAAGATGTCAGCTTGGTCATGTGATCAGCTGTGTCCAATCACAGCTGATCACATGTAAATAGGGAAATGCCGGTTATAGGCATTTCTCTCCTCACGAGCTGTCACTCTGACAGCTCGAGAGGACAGGAGAGCCGGTAATCGGCATCCCTCAGAGGGGGCATCTACACTGATCATCAGGGCACTGAGGATCAGTGTGCCCTGATGATCAGTGTAGCCCCAGCTGTGCCACCTGTCAGTGTCCATCAGTGCCAGCTGTCAGTGCCCATCCATGCCACCTGCCAGTGCCCATCAGTGCCACATCAATGCCACATATCAGTGCCTACCAGTGCACATCAATGCCACATATCAGTGCCCATCTGAGCTGCCTTTCAGTGTCACCCATCAGTGTCAGTCAGTGCCACCTATCAATGCCAGTAGTGCCACCTATCAGTGCTGCCAATCAGTGCCGCCTATCAGTGCCAGTCAGTGTCACCCATCAGTGTGCATCAGTGCCCGTCAGTGCTGCCTATCAATGCTGCCTATCAGTGCCATATATGAGTGCTGCCTTTCAGTGCCCATCAGTGATGCCTGTCAATGCCCATCAGTGCCTCCTCATCAGTACCCTTCAGTTCCACCTATCAGTGTCCATCAGTGCAGCCTATCAGTGCCCATCACTGTGCAGCCTCAGTAGCGCACATCAGTGAAGGAGAAAAATCACTTATTTACAAAATTGTGTAACAAAAACTAAGAAGAAAAAACTTTTTTTTTTTTTCAAAATTTTCAGTGTTTTTTTGGTTTGTTTAAGAAAAAATAAAAAACCCAGAGGTGATTAAATACCACCAAAATAAAGCTCTATCTGTCACAAAAAAATTATAAAAATTTCATATGGGTACAGTGTTGCATGACCATGAAATTGTCATTCAAAGTGTGACAGCGCTGAAAGCTGAACATTTTACCTGGGCAGGAAGGGGGTATAAGTGCCCGGTAGGCAAGTGGTTAAAGCAAAGCACAGATGTGATGTCATTTTATATGGGTGCAGAATGCTGTACAGCATGAAGAAGGTGTCGCCACACATCCAGGCATTTGCATGCGTATGGGGATGATTGAGCATCCCTGGATGCAAACTGCCTGTGTTCAGGGCTGCTCATCTGTCTCTGTATGAATGCAAACACTCAGATGTGCAGTGACGCATGTAAAGCTACAGCTTGTCAATGATTTTTACAGACTACTATGAGCAAACACCTGTCACTCCCGGGAGGCTCCTGGCATCATAAATACTCACCACCTTCACGCTTTAGGGCCCTCTGCATCCATGTGAATGAGCCCATAAAGTATATGAAAACCTAATCACTATAGTCTTATATCAACTTTAACATGTAATCTAATTTTCAGTATTTTTAACCACTTCAAGTCCGGACAGTTTCACCCTCTTCCTGCCCAGGCCAATTTTCAGCTTTCAGTGCTATCACACTTTGAATGAGAATTGCACGGTCATGCAACACTGTACCCATATGAAATTTTTAGCATTGTTTTGAGACAGATAAAACTTTTATTTTGGTGGTATTTATTAACCACTGGGATTTTTATTTTTTTTGCTATATAAATGAAAAATTAAAAAAAAAAAGTGTTTTTTCTTATTATACAGGATTTATATAGCGCCAACAGTTTGCTCAGCGCTTTTCAATATAAAGGGACACAAAATACAACAACAGTACAGCTCAATACAAGAGGGTTAGGAGGGCCCTGCTCCTTGGAGCTTACAATCTAAGTGTTTTTAATTTTTGCAAATAAATAATCTTTCTTCATAAATCTTGGCCAAAATGTATTCATCTATCTTTTTAGCAAAAAAAAAAAAAAGACCAAATTAGTTTATAACCAAAAATTCTAATTTTTATTTTTCTTTATATTTTTTTTTTTTACATACTGTCGCCCTAGCAGTACAATGTAACCATAGTGACACTGTACTACTTGTGGGGGGTGATAAAGATTTTTTTTTTTCTTTTTTTTACAATTGATTGCTTTTACACCCATAAAGGCTGTAAAAGCAATCATTACTCCTTCTCTCTGGCTGCATTCCTGCAGCCATTGAGAAATACTGTGGGATCTGTGATTGGTCACAGCTTGTCACATGGTACAAGGCTGTTGTGAATAGCTTTGTACCATGTGACCTCTGTGATCATTCACAGATTACACAAGTAGTAAGCAATGATGTCAGGAAGTGACATCTTGTTTACTACTCTGCATGTGATCATAGATTGGCTAATCAGTGATCACGTGAATCAGGACCTCACACAGAGATCCCTTACAGCTATCTGCGTTCCGCTGTGTCCTCCGGATACAGCGGGCACCAATCTCGGTGCCGTGCCCTCCCAGGCAATGATGTGGGGGGACGTTTAGAAACGTCCACCCGCATTGGCAGCGCTCCCGTCCGGCCGTTTATCGGCATGGGCCGGATGGGGTTATATATACAGCTTAAAAATATTAAAATATTACTTTGTGATCACACCATGAAAATCTTGGCTGTCTCCCAGTTGTGCTTGTGTTTTGTCGCCCCGTCACACAACCGGCTATTTGAAAATGCCTTGCACAGTTGTCACTGTCAGGAAGCCACCCCCTGAGAATGTAATGCATGTAGATGGGCTGCAGAAGCTCAGTACTACTAGATGCAACAAAGTATGAAATAAAGGTGAAACAAATGTTACATTTAAAAAGGTCAGTTATTTTGTATACCCAGTGCTTCAGCAAAGTAAACGTCATTCTCTTAGAATTTACAGTGTATCTAATAGTATTTACAAGCCATAATATGCCCCACTGTCTGTGACTGGCAAGACTTGCTGGTACTTGTAGTTTTTTGGTTTTTTTTTCACCTGAAGGGCCACTGAGTCAGGCTGTCAGAGAGTGCTCTGGTCTTAAAGCCAAAGTGAATATGACAGTAAGAAGTAACACAGAACTGAGTGGTATGCAGTAGCTCAGTAGGACAAATAGCATAGACAAGCTGTGATGGTTTTCAGATGGAAGCAGTGCAAATTATATAATACATTCGTGACGTAAATGCTGTCGTAACCCTGCAGGATGTTCAGTTGATATAATTGATAAGTAGTGACTGGGTTATTTAGCATGCAAAAAAACTATAACAGGTCATTTATTGTAATGTATAATTTACTTGCTACTGCACACTAAGCTCCAGAACTTGAATGTTTCATAACCGGTATAAGAGCTCCAAGGCTGTGATTTTCTGCCTTTATATGGTTAAAGAACTCCACAGAAGAGCTAGCTATACAGGCTTAGATTGCTCTACCTAAGCCCCGTGGACTAAACAAAGCAAATCCGTTGATTCCCCCTATCCATACTAAGCAGCACGGATGGAGGAATCTGCACCTGCAATCTGCCTGTTGTAGTCAGACAGCCACGGCTGCCTGAATACCTGAACAGCGACAGTGTCTGATTGGATGCAGTGATTGTTTGGCCAACAAAATCCCCACCTGGCTTAAACCAGCCATACATGGGTTGAATTGCAAAAGGATTTTCTTTCGAAAATCTTTTGTAAGCATTTTCGTTTGAATTTCGAAATGATTAGTGAGTCACAGAAACCATCGATTTTCGTGCGACTATTGAATTTGAGTGACCGGACATGTTTGGAAAATTTTTGAAAAACGAATGAATTTCAAATCAATGTTGGAAGAATTGTGCAGGAAATATAAACGAAAGAGAAATGGGCATAAGCTGTGACCTGGAAAGGAATGAAAATTCTTGGCCACGAAAAATCTTTTCTGTAGCAACAGTGAAATTGAAGGCTTGGTTGGTTGAATTTCGAAATCAATGGTGGCACTGTTGGATTACAAAATTTCCGATTTTCGAAAGAAAATTTGTTCGGAATTCGACCCACCTATGGCCTGCATAAATCGACTTTTAAACTGACATTAGTTGGGTCTGGTGATGCCAACAGGGTCACCCATGGTTTTAAATTCCTGTTGTGTATGGCTAGCTTACAGTGAAGCTAAAGTCCCACTGTCAAAACTTACAAGTAGGCATGCTCTTTATTTTGGAAGAGACATGCAATGTCTCTTTTGCAATAAAATACACGTATTTATTACAGGTATTTATATAGTGCCGTCAATTTACACAGCACTTTACATGTATATTTTACATTCACATCAGTCCCTAACCCTCAAGGAGCGTACAATCAAAGGTCCCTAACTCACATTCATACATACACATGCTAGGGCCAATTTAGACAGGAGCCAATTAACCTACCAGTATGTCTTTGGAGTGTGGGAGGAAACCGGAGTACCCGGAGGAAACCCACGCAGGCACAGGGTGAACATGCAAACTCCAGGCAGGTGGTGCCGTGGTTGGCATTCTAACCATCGACCCTAGTACTAGGCTGAAGTGCTAACCATTTAGCCACTGTGCACTTACCTGTTCACTGTTTTCTGCTGGCTTGATCCTTTTAATCTGGGATCACTGATGCACAGTACGCCAGCCAATGATGATGGCTGAAGACTGGCACCCAGCAGAAGATGCCAATGAGGGACAGGGACCATTGAGGGAAGGTTAGTTTTGCTCCGCTTTAAGGGCTTGTTCACACCAGGGCTTGGGCAGCACCATTGTGCACAAAAAAAAAAATAGACAAGTTGCATTTTTAAGCAGCACATTGTGACGAGCTGTAGCTTATCACAGCAAACTGCCACACACTGATTTAAACAAACTGGAAAAAAGGAAAAAAACAAACACTGCAATACATTGTACAATGTACACCTTAATGCATGTCTACCCTAAGTTCTAATTATGTCCATTCTATAGAATTCAGTAGAAGGTCTGTCTACCTAAAAGGGTTATTTTAGCTATAGCTGGTGGTTGGTTGATTGAGATACTCACTGGTTGCCTATATACTTTGCCAGTTGGTGTATGGAATAATCCCAGAGATTTCATTTCCTGCTTGTGTGATTGGCTCATTGATTTTCCCAGCAGTCTGTGCTAAGATACAAGTTAGGTTTTAGGCATCTTCTGCAACAGAAATTTAGATTTTGGGGAGATTCTCCTAAAGGGTTAATCACTTCTAAAGGAATACAGACCCTGCCACTCTCCTCGTTAGAGCCCTGCAAATGCATCTGCTGATCAAAAATGAAAAATCACTCCCATTCAGAATCAGTCCTGCACAAGACATGATTCAACAAAGAGCTATTCTTTCAGCCTGGATTCACATATATGCGGTGCGGTATATCGCATGTGATTTGCACAGGAACCGCACTGCATTCCTGTGCAAATCACATGAGATTTTTATGCGGTGCGATTGGAGCCATACATTTTGTATGGCTCTAATTGCACCGCACCCGCAGCAAAAAGGTGCAGGACCCTTTTTTGGGTCCACACTAGAATACTGGGTATTCACACCTATGCGATCCGATTCTGCATATCGCACTGCGTTTTGCAGACTGCTTTCGGGGTGTTGTTAACTTAACATACACACCTGCAGCGGTTCGCATGAATGAGGTGCGATTGTGATGCGTTGTGGAATTTGCACTGAAAATGCTGCGAATTCCGCACTGCATCAATGTGAACCTGGGCTCAGAG